CCTCTCGTCGTTCTCTCTGGCTCGCCTCAGCGCGGCCCGTTGTTATGACGACACGGTCGTAAATCCGCCATCTTCCTGCGGCGCGTTGCGACATGGAGGGCGCGATGGCAGTGCGGGTGACGGCCGCGCATACGGCAGAAGCCCGGGCCGAAGCCGGGCGGGAGGCGGGCGAGGGCGGGGTCGCGGCGGCGGCGGCGGCGGCGGCGGCCTTGGCCCCTGGTGGCTTCCTAGGCCTCCCGGCGCCCTTTAGCGAGGAAGGTAACAGGGCCTGACGGGGTCGGGCGCGGCCGGGGTGGGGACGGCGCAGTCCTGGCTGGAGGCGGCCCCGATGGCCTGAGCTGTGGACGCGACAGACCGTCCCAGATCCTGGTTCCTTGCGGACTTCCCGGGTCCCCAAGGGGGTCCTGTGTAGCCCTCCACGAGCCCCCCCCCCCCGGCTTCCTCAGACCTTCGGGCCTCTCCTACGGGGCGCCCATCACCCCGTGGACCTCGGTGCCCACTCAGATGCTCACAGGTGGTCAAGCCTCAGGGGCTACCCGTATAGGCCTCTACCATCGCCTCCACGGCCAGCCTTGCCCCTTAGGCCCGCGGTCCGGCCCGTTTTCGCCTGTCTGGGCACGGCCCTGCTCTCCTCTGGGCCCCCTCCCACTGCACCTGACGGGCCTCTAGAGCCCTGGCTGGGGTGGAGCTGGAGGCTGAGGGGGGGGGGAGGCGGGGCCTCGGGGCTCCAGGGCTCTGGGCTGGCCCTTGGGGAGACAGTAGAGCCCAGTGGTGGCGAGCCGGTGCTCTGCAGCCAGCCTGTGAGCTTCATCCCAGACCTGCCGCTTTCTGGCTAGTTGATCCTGGGCAGGTGAGCCTCCCTTTCCCCTTACAAAATGGGGAGGATGTTGCTGCTGCTAATAATGTGTTAGGCACTTACCGCGCCTTGTCATTTTCATCCTAAAACCAACCCTGGAGGCTCTTACTGTTGTTGTTATTCCCATTTTGTGGATGAGGGAAATTGAGGTTCAAAGATGTCAAAGTGACCAGGTCACTCAGCTAGTAAGTAGCAAGGACTGGATTGTGTGACTCCTCAGCCAGGTCCCCTAACTTCTGGGCTCTGCGGCCTTCCAGTGGTGGTGACAAGGAAGGTAGAGCACGTGGTGACCTGCTGAGAGCAGTGCCGCGGGCACACCCAGGGCTGGCTCACAGGTGCACTGATAGCTTTTCAGACTGAAGCAGGGCCTCTATCCTCAGCTCTTGAAGTTGGCCCGAGAGGAGGGGGCTGGCTGGTGCTACTGGGGTGGTGGTCCCTCTCTCCACAGAGCTCATATTCTCAGTACATTTTTTTTCTTGCTCCTTCTTATTCCAGCTGGGCAAGGGCAGGACCATTAGGGGCAGTGCCAACCTGGAGAGGGATCTCTTTGGAGGTTGCTGTGCCCTGCTAGGCTCGCTCCCTGTCCTGTCGGTGTTGTGTGGGTGGGGCATGTCCCTTCATCGGCAGCATTGAGTCAGACTTGGCCAGCGAGGTGGGTAGGTTAAGAGGCTGGTGGACACCTCAGTGCTTGGCTTGTGACTGTGAGCCATCTGGAGGGGGCTGTGGTCTTCTGTGGGTCAGTCATGGCTGTGGTTTAGGCTTTCGTTTGCTCATTAATTCAGAAGACGTTGACCAGGCTCCTTCTCTGTGCCAGGCCTGGGTTTGACCTTGATGTGGGGCTGCATGTGAGGTGCTGGGAACTGGTGGACTTTTATGGAAGCACAAGGAACATCCTCCCATCCCTTTGTGCAAATGGCAGGCCATCTGGAGTAGACCCTCAGCTTCAGGTTCTGGTTCTAACACTCACCAGCTGGGTGGCCTTGAATCTCAAGTCATTTTTCTGGAATGAGAATAGTCATCCTTATTTCCCCAGGGTGCTGGCTGGATTTGGTGACATCCCCAGGGAGGTGCCTGGCACCCAGTAGAGACTCAGTGAGTGGGAAGTCTCTTCTGTAGGACCTGGGGCAGGCACTGGCTGGTCAGCCTAGATGGTGAGGGGCTCGGGTGTGACGTTCCTGGGATGTGAAGCCCCTGTGGGAAGTTCCACCCTGAGTGTCTTCAGGAGAACAGGGAGCTCCTGCCTGTTCAGAAACAGCAAAGCAGCAAGTCAGTGAGGAAAAAGGGTTATGGGTCAGGGTATCCTGCCTCTTCTGTCTTTGCCGAGGGCTGGCCTCTCAGCCAGAGCCCTGTGAACATTACCCCACTGATCCCCACTGCACTGTACACGCACTGTGCTGGCCCATTTTATGGATGAGCAGATGGACCCAGACATGGTCACTGAGGTACCGAAGGGCACACAGATAGCCCAGTAGTCTCTCTTTTTTTTTTTAAGATTTTATTTATTCGAGACACAGAGATACAGAGAGAGAAAACATGAGCAGGGAGAGAGGCAGGGGGAGAAGCAGGCTTCTCGCTGAGCCAGGAGCCCGATGTGGGGCTCGATCCCATGACCCTGGGATCATGACCTGGGCCGAAGGCAGATGCTTAACCATCTGAGCCACCCAGGCGCCCCTAGCCCAGTAGTCTTAATCCCTGGTCCTCTACTGTCCCTACTTGCGTGGGCGAATCCCTCCACCTCCTAGTTGCTCGCTGGGCCTCAGTCCCCTCATCTCAGAAGTGGGGGTTTTGGACACAACTAATTGTATGGTTGGGGCCACCACTTGCTGGATGCTGCTCTGCCTGGGGTGGGTGCCCCTTCTGCAGATCGCCAGAGGATGGGGGCTGGCACCCTAGTCCTCCCAGGGTGTTCTCAGCCCCTCTGGGAGGGCTGGGGAAGCTGCCTCTGCTTCTGATGGCACTCAGGCCTGGAGGCCCTCCCGAGCCCCACTGATCACAGGCTCATTGCAGATGAGGACGATGTGCACAGATGTGGCCGCTGCCAGGCGGAGTTCACTGCCTTGGAAGACTTTGTTCAGCACAAGCTCCAGAAAGTCTGCCAGCGGGCCCCCCAGGAGGCCCTGCCTGCAGCCCGTGCCACTGGCACGCTGCTGGCCCAGGAGGTGAGCCCCCGTCCCCCCGCTCCGCACATACCTGTGCCTGTGTGCGTTGCCCCCTGACAGCCGGAGGGGGGTGGGTGCAGCGGGTTCTGTGGCTCGCGGGCTGGATGGGAGACCGGCGTCTGCTCATGCGTGAGGGAAGGTCTGGGCCTGGCCCCCAAGAGCTTGGTGGTGGTCTAGGGTGGTCAGCTTTCTCAGAGGCCTCTGGCCGGAGCCTGCGCAGTTGAAGTCCCTCCTTTCTTGGAACCTCAGGGCCTGTCCTGGCTCAGGGCTTGTCTCCTGCCCTGTACACACAGTTCCTCTGGATTCCACAAATGGTGGCTCTGGGGGTCCTGCCACCTTGTCATAAAAATGGCCAACTTTGTGGTGTTGCGCACATGCTTGGGCTATACGCATGGTCTCATTAGGGCCCACAGTACTCTCGCGGGGTGGCATTCTCATCATCCTCATTGTATGGAGGTGGGAAAGGAGATTCTGAAAGATGTCAGCTGCCTCAGGTCATCACAGAGAGTGGCCTAGAAGCCATAGGGCTCACAGCTGCCTCATTCTGACCCTGTGCCCTTGTCTGGCCCCTCCCAGTGGTGCCCTTTCCTCCAAGAAGACCCCCGGTCCCACATACCTGGGGCTCTTCCCCTTGATACCCTGGCTGGGGTTGGTAGGTGTAGGTGCTGACCTTCATCCTTGCATAGCCAGCTGAGCTGCAGGCCAGGGCCACTGGCCACTTCCTTCCGGAGCCCTCCACATGGGTGCTCGGGGTTCCGCATTCAGCCCATGGTGGCCAGAGGCGTTTTGAGTGATGGGGCTGATCCCTTAGGCCTGGGATGGAGGGACGAGGCAGGAGTCAGGCTCAGAGCAGGGACAGGAGAGATGTTCGGGGGTGATGAGAGGCCTCACCACAGCCTTCCTACATGAACATAAACCCAAGCCTGTCCTCTCCAAGCCAAGGGAGCTCCGGAGCCCCGCAGATGAGTCCTCTCTGTCCCCTGGCAGGTGGTGCCAGCAGTGGCAGGCCCAGAGGAGCCCATCACTGTGGCCCACATCGTGGTGGAGGCAGCCGCTTTAACAGCAGACATCAGCCATGCACCTGACATTGTCGGTAAGCCAGCACGGTCCCACCGTGGCTGTCCACGTGTGGCTCTCAGCACAGCTGTTGCTGACCTATCAGCTATTAGTGGTCAGTACCAGAGGCTAGGGACCCTTGTTGCCCGTGTCTCTGCTGTCCTGAGAGCAAGGCCTGGCTGAGGAGGGCTGAGGCCTTCAGGGCTGAGCACCAGGCACCAGGCCCTGCCCTGCCAGGAAAGGGGAAGCATGGCGCCTGCACTCAGAGTCCTCACTTTGTGCGTAGTCATGAGCTGGCTGTTTCCTCCGGTTGCTTCTGCAGATGGTTTTTTCCCTGGTCCTTCTGAAATCTTCCCTGTTTTTCTACCACCCCCGGTTCCTGCTCCTTACCTCACGGTCGGCTCCGATGGATCAGGTTGGGGTATGCATGGGACGCACTTGCCGCTCCAGCTCTGTCCTGACCTGCTGTCTGACCTTGGCTGTCCCCTCCCATGTGGGGGTGGCAACTCCAGCCCTGATTCTCACTTGGCTTTTATGAGCATATAGAGCCAAGTCAGCCTCTTTGATGGCTCTTTTTAAGTCAAAGTTCTCTACTGATGTAGGGGAGGGGGAACCCTCAAAGGGCCGCCAGGGGCTGGGTGTGTGCCCTGCAGGAGGGAGGCTGGGCGGGGCCTGCTGCCAAGTTGGGAAGGCCATGGTTGTTACCTGGCGGTCTGCTGGGCAGGAGTCTTGGCAGGTGCGAGAGTGGGCGGCCTGACAGGATACGGGCTTGGGCAACAGGTAGAACTTGGCCTTACGAAGTGTTGGGGACCAGCTGGGGCAGGAAGGGAGATGGAGACCTCAGGGAGGGGAACGTCAGAGCAGGCCTTTCTGCCAAGGTCCCACCTCAGGGAGGTGGCAGGACACCTGTCCCCATCTCTGTGCTGACATTCCTGTGGATGGGGACATTCGCCCGTGCCACTCCGGGACAGGAATGTTGTCATGGGGGAGGTGGGGCCGCACTCCGGCCCTGGCATGGAGTTTGGTTTCTGGGGTGAACAGTGTCATATGGGAAAACAAGTTCCCTGGGCTCAGGCGGTACCCAGGGGTTCCAGACCCCTGGCCAGCCAGGCCCCTTCCCAGCACCGCAGCCTCCAGCCAGCCCGCACCTGCTGCTCGGCAGCTCCGCCCTGAGCTCCAGGGGCTCCTTTCTGGCACCTCCTGTCTCTCTTGCCCCCTTGGGTGCCCCAAATGTCCCCTTGGTGTTAGCTGCTCATTGGTCCAGGTTGGCTAGAGTCCTAAACTGCCAGTTCCTGGCATCCTAGGACTGGAGGATCTTATTCCTTGCCGGGCCAGGGGCCTCAGGGGGCGGGGGCTGTGTAGGGGGTACCCGTACCAGGCCCTCTTGCCTCTTCCCTGCAAACAAACTTGCATTTCATCTCTGGACTCAGGGCAGCCATGTTCCTCCTTCCTTGACCCCTCCGTCCGCTCTGTGTCATGCCACACTCTATCTCAAGTTCTTGCTTGGCAGAAATCCCTGTCTTTTGGGAAGTTTGCTTCTGGGGGTGGAGGAAAGATAGAACATCAAGCACAGCAGCCAGGGCATGGGCTAGAGATGTCCTTAATTATTTCTGAGTCATGGTGCTTCCCTTCTGTTTGGGAGAATGGCTTGTCAAAACACTCTACCCGTCCGATCGAGATGGTTTCTAAGAGGCGGCTTTACAACCATCCCCCACACATCATATTTCGGAGCAGAACTCGTGAAGTGTGTTTACAGCTTAACTTTGCACGTTGTCAGATCTCTTCATCACCCGTGAGAGGTGCTAAAGCCCGGCCTCCTTCCTCAGGCAGTCCCAGGTGTCTCGAGAGCACTCATTCATGCTCCTAGATGCATCCCCAGCCTCCCTGCCTTGAGACACAGCGGGTGATCCCCAGAGGCAGCCGCCTTACCTGTCAGGGGAGCTGGTGCCGTGAGCAGGGCAGACAGTCCACCCCCCATCTCCGTGCTGGCACTCGCTTGTCCCTTGAGGTGGCAGGACTCCTGCCCACATCTAGTCCTGTGCTCCTTGGCTTAGGAGGGGGCACTGGTGCTCATGCTGGGTCTCCCCGCTGGGAATGGTCTGGGGTCTTGGAGCTCCTCTAGGCAGCTCTGCAGACTCAGAGGAGCTGCCTCCCACTCGTGGAGCAGGTGCCAGGCACCGGGGCTGGAGGGTGGTTGGGACAGCTCCGCTGCCCCCTCCCTGCCCCCCTCACAGTGTTCCCCGCTAGGGATCCGAGGCAGCGGCAGGGCCCGCAGCCTCCCGAGGCTCGGCTGACCCCTCTTTCCTCAGGCGGCGGACACATCAAAGAGGTCATTGTGGCTGCTGAGGCAGAGCGGGGGGACGGTGAGATGGCAGAAGCCCCAGGCAGCCCCAGCCGTCAGGGCCCTGGGCTCAGCAGGGATGGCGAGCAGGCTCAGGTCAAGCTGCTGGTGAACGAGGATGGCCGCTACGTCTGCGTGCTGTGCCACAAAACCTTCAAGACGGTGAGCCCGGGGGCCGCGTGTGGGGCTGAGCCGGCTGCTGGGGCCGGGCCTCCTTCCCCTCCTGCCCTGGGAGGCGCCTGAGCCCCACTTGTCCCCTCCCCCCAGGGCAGCATCCTCAAGGCCCACATGGTCACCCACAGCAGCCGCAAGGACCACGAGTGCAAGCTATGTGGGGCCTCCTTCCGGACCAAGGGTTCACTCATCCGGCATCACCGGCGGCACACAGGTGAGCCAGGCGGGGACTGGGGGCCGCCCGGCACACTGCCACCGGCCCTGCTGGTGCCCCGGCCTCTGGCTGGCCGTGAGACTGTGGCTCCGGGCCTGTCTTCCCCGGGGCCTTAGGCTGTTGGCCCTGCCCAGGGCTGACTCTGTTTTCTCCACAGATGAGCGCCCCTACAAGTGTGCCAAGTGTGGGAAGAGCTTCCGGGAGTCAGGTGCGTTGACCCGACACCTGAAGTCTCTCACCCCGTGCACAGAAAAAATCCGCTTCAGCATGAGCAAGGACGTGGTTGTCGGCAAAGAAGACGCGCCTGCAGGTCAGCGAGGTAGGGGCTTCCTGCCCTGGCCCTGGCCCTGGGGGCCACCACCCTGGTTGGGTGGGTTTCTTTACGCATTCTCTTGGTTCTGCCTTAAAGGGTCTGGCACCTCCCCTGTGGGAACGGTCCCATCTTCATCGGCGACAGGCGAACCTATGGAGACCTCACCCGTGATTCACCTGGTGACAGATGCCAAGGGCACTGTCATCCATGAAGTCCATGTCCAGATGCAAGAGCTTCCCCTGGGCATGAAAGCCCTGGCCCCAGAGGTGCGGGCCAGCCGGGGGGGTGGCCTCTGTCTGCCCAGTGCCAGGCTCTGTTCTGGTCGCTGGCTCCGGTGGGAGCAGGACTGACCTGGTCCGCCTTCCTGGTGCTCGGTCTGGTTGCAGGGGGGATGGGATGCCAGTGGCATGCCAGAGGGCAGCGAGGGACAGGGAGCTGGGGGGGAGGGGGAGAGTGAGGGTGGGAAGAGCGGGCTGTGGGGTTCCCCGAAGCATTCCTCTGGGTGTGCTCGGTGCCCCCCCTGGGGTCTGCCCTGTGCAGTGGGTACAAGTGGGTGCTGTGTGCCAGGCCGCCTGGCCAGCTTCCCCCCCTCTGCCTGCCCACAGCCCCCGGGCCCCGAGGAGCTTCCCTGCTCTAGCGAGGGTGGCCGTGAGAACCTGCTACACCAGGCCATGCAGAACTCCGGCATTGTCCTTGAGCGTGTCAGCGGCGAGGAGGGAGCCCTGGAGCCAGCCCCTCCTGCCGCACCCAGTCCCCAGACCCTGGGAGATGGTCCCCCAGAGCTGCCACTGCTGGAGGTGGAACCCGTGGAGACAGTAGGTGCCTGCGCTGCGACGTGCTCCTTCGAGGCTGGGCTGGACCTCAGCTACAAAGGCACCACCCCAGCCTGGCAGCCATCCTCCTTGCTGTGCTGTTTACTGCCTTTTTGGGGCTCATGATGGAGCTTGTGGGGTTAGGGGGGGTGCCATGGGTCTGTTCTTGGGACTGCTAGGGTCCAGCCTGCAGTAGGTGCTGGAGGCGTGCTGTGCCCCTCCCCGCCCCAGCAGGTGGCCAGTGGGGCCTCTGCTGTGCCCAGGACCCACCCGTGCCCTCAGTGCAGTGAGACCTTCCCGACAGCGGCCACCCTGGAGGCCCACAAAAGGGGCCATGCAGGTGGGTGGCAGGGGAGGGTGGGGGGGTGGGGCACAGAGCAGCAGAAGGCCAGGATGGGCCTTGGGTGTGCGATGGGTGGCTAGATTGGTCCCCCGGGTGGGCAACAGGCAGGGGGCCCTCAAGGGGTGGACCCGGCCTGACCTCGTGTGCGGCCCCAGGGCCAAGGCCGTTCACATGCGTGCAGTGTGGCAAGGCCTTCCCCAAGGCCTACCTGCTCAAGAAGCATCAGGAGGTGCACGTGCATGAGCGCCGCTTCCGCTGTGGAGACTGCGGGAAGCTCTACAAGACCATCGCCCATGTCCGCGGCCACCGGCGTGTCCACTCTGATGAGCGGCCCTACCCATGTCCCGAGTGTGGCAAGTGCTACAAGACCAAGGTGGGCCCTCAGGCCCTGGACCCTGGCACCTGACCCCCCCCCCCGCCCTCCAGTCCACCAGCTCCCCTGCGCCAGGCCAGATCCATGCCGTGTTCCCTGCCTCCCAGTCGCTGCCCTCCCTGCCCGGTCTCTCCTGACCACGAGGCCTCTCGTCCCTCCTGCCTGGCTCCTGGGCCCTTTCCCTTGGCCCACGGGGGGGGGTGGGGGCAAGAGAGTGCGGGCTGAGCCGTGGCCGAGGCCAGGTGGACGCTGATGGTGGGGCCCCACAGAATGCCCAGCAGGTGCACTTCCGGACACACCTGGAGGAGAAGCCGCATGTGTGCCCGTTTTGCAGCCGAGGCTTCCGGGAGAAGGGCTCCCTGGTGCGGCACGTGCGGCACCACACGGGTGAGAAGCCCTTCAAGTGTTACAGGTGCGGCCGTGGCTTCGCCGAGCACGGCACGCTCAACCGGCACCTGCGCACCAAAGGTCAGGGCCGTGGGCAGCGGGGGTGCAGGGGGGGAGGGCCGGGAAGTCGGCCCTGCTGATTGAGCCCCCCTCCTCCCCCTCCCCGCCCACAGGGGGCTGCCTGCTGGAGGTGGAGGAGTTGCTGGTGTCTGAGGAGAGTCCCACGGCAGCCGCCACCGTACTCACTGAGGACCCGCACACCGTGCTGGTGGAGTTCTCATCGGTCGTGGCTGACACCCAGGAGTACATCATCGAGGTGGGTGCGGGGCCACTGGGGCGGGGCCGGGGCCTTGGAGCGGCCAGGCTGACGTCTGACCCCTGCCCAGGCCACTGCGGATGACGCAGAGACTAGCGAAGCCGCAGAGATCATTGAGGGCACCCAGACGGAGGTGAGGGGCCGGGAGAGGGCTGGGGGGAGGAGGGGGTGGCCTGGTGCCCTCCCCCACAGCCCCCGGCTGAGCCGTGAGCCGCCTGCAGGTGGATAGCCACATCATGAAGGTGGTGCAGCAGATCGTGCACCAGGCCAGCGCTGGACACCAGATCATCGTGCAGAATGTGACCATGGACCAGGAGGCGGGGCTGGGCCCAGAGGCGGCCGCGGCCGACACCATCACCATCGCTACGCCGGAGAGCCTGACGGAGCAGGTGGCCATGACGCTGGCCTCGGCCATCAGTGAGGGCACTGTACTCACGGCCCGTGCGGGTGCAAACGGCGCCGAGCAGGCCACTGTGACCATGGTTTCATCGGAGGACATTGAAATCCTGGAGCACGCGGGCGAGCTGGTTATTGCCTCACCGGAGGGCCAGCTCGAGGTGCAGACGGTCATCGTCTAGCCTGGCCGCCCGCAGGCTCTCGGGGCGGGGCTGGGCAGGGGCGAGGACCCACAGAAGGGACACAGAATGCAGATGTTCAGAGGGGGTGTGGGAGTGTAAATAGTTTTTTGTTGCTTTACAATAAAACATGAAAATCCACTACTTATGATGCCACTGCCCCAGCTGGTTCCCCTGTGGCAGGTTCCCCTGTGGCAGCCCCCTGCCTGCCCGGTCCCCGCCCACCCGGCCCCCCTGCAGACTCACGCGCCTCCCGCTGGGGCTGGCAGCACCGTGGCAGTGCGTGGGCATCCCTGGCATGTGGACAGGCAGCCTGCTGCTGCCGCCCTGCCCAGATGGAGTCGTGACCCCAGCTTCCCCAGCCCCACGGAGGTGGGTGGGAGGGGGTGCTGCTTCATGGCCTCCAACCCTGGGGCTGTCCAGGAAGGGGGGAGGGCAGGGCACCCAGGCTGGGAGGGGACAACGGAGCAGCAGGGGGAGAGCTGCCAGGAAGGTATTTACTGAATGCACCGCCTGCCTTTTCTCAGGGGGCACCCCCGATGGAGGGAGATTCTGGATGACCTAGTTTGGGAGAGTGGGGGTGTGAGGACAAGAACAAGTCCTGGACCTTGGGTGGCTGACCCTTTTGTCCAGTCCTGACATAGTTTTGGGGGGGCTAGCAGGGTCACGGGAGCCCTGGTTCTGATGGGTGCGGGAGCAAGCTCAGGGTGGCTGCCCCTGCCACCTTGCCCCCAGGGCTCTCCCTGGGAACCGGAACCAGCAGTTCCAGCGTCCATCTCCGCAGAGGGGGTGGGGCCGGAGCAGTCCAGCCCCTCCCTGGACAAGGGCCTCAAATACCCTCCTGGGCCCTGGCGCCACAGCTGCTTTGGCCAAACCCGGGGAGCCGGTCTTGTGCCACAGACACACCCCCAGCCTGGATCTCCAACCTCAGTCCTGAGCCTCAGATACCGCCCCATCCACATCCCAGGTGAGTCCAGGGACAGGGCTGACCAGGGGCCTGGATGGGGATGGGGTCCCTCTATTTGGGCCTCAGTTTCCCCAAGGAGTAGAATGGCCACAGTAAGCCTAGTGCACCATTGGGGAGACGTGGAGACGCAGGGGAAGGATGCGCCTTGGACCTCCGAATCAAAGGTCCCTGCCCGGCCCCTGGGGCTGGGGCGGAGAGGGGTGGCTCTGTGTCTGACGCCAGGTCCGCGCTCAGGAGCGTGTCTGTCCCTCCCAGCCCGCCCCCTCTGCGCCATGGGTGGGCCCCGGGTCCTGCTGGCCGCGCTCTGGGCCCTGGGGGCCGCCGGAGCAGCAGCGCTGCGCATCGGAGCCTTCAACATCCAGAGCTTTGGCGACAGTAAAGTGTTGGACCCGGCCTGCGGCGGCGTCATTGCGCAAGTGAGGCCGGGGACCGGGGGCGGGGCCGCAGCTGGGCTTCCCGGGTGGATCCGCCGCGCGTGACCCCGCACCTGCCGGCCCCTCCCCCAGATCCTGGCTGGCTATGACATCACGCTGGTGCAGGAGGTGCGAGACCCGGACTTGAGCGCCGTGTCCGCGCTCATGGAGCAGATCAACAGGTGCGGGGAGGGGGACGGGGGACAGGGCCCAGCGTTCGGAGCCCAGGCCCGGATCGCGGGGCTTGGTCCCGTTCCTTGACCCCGGGCCTGGCCCGTGTCTCCGCAGCGTGTCTAGGCACGAGTACGGCTTCGTGAGCAGCGAGCCCCTGGGTCGGGACCAGTACAAAGAAATGTACCTGTTCGTCTACAGGTGAGGGGCGGGGCCGCGGGGCCCGGGCGCGCGCGGCGGGATGGGGCCGGCTCAGCGTGCCCGCCCGCCTCCTTCCCCCAGGAAGGACGCGGTGTCGGTCGTGGACACGTACCAGTACCCGGACCCGGAGGACGCTTTCAGCCGTGAACCTTTCGTGGTCAAGTTCTCGTCCCCCCGCTCGGGTGAGGCGCCCCGCCCCCCCTCTCCCGCGGGCCCCACCCGCCCGCCTCCCGCCGCCCCCGGCCCCGCCTCTGACCCGCGCCTCCCGCAGCTGCCGGGGAGTTAGTGCTCATCCCACTGCACGCAGCGCCACACCAGGCCGTGGCGGAGATCGACGCTCTCTACGACGTGTACCTGGACGTGATCGACAAGTGGGGCACGGACGTAAGCCCCACCCCCGCCCCGGGGTCCTGTGAGCGCGTGCGGGGCTGGGGGGGGGCTTCGCGCGTGCGCGGGGTTCGCGGTGCTCGCGCATGTGCGTGTGTGTGTGTGTGTGTGTGTGTGTGTGTGTGTGTGTGTGTGTGCGCGCGCGCGCGCTGAGCCCCGGCGCCGCGGCCCCCGCAGGACTTGCTGTTCCTGGGCGACTTCAACGCGGACTGCAACTACGTGCGGGAGCGCGACTGGCCGTCCGTCCGCCTGCGCAGCAGCGAGGTCTTCAAGTGGCTCATCCCCGACAGCGCCGACACCACCGTGGGCAACTCGGACTGCGCCTACGACCGCATCGTGGCGTGCGGCGCCCGCCTGCGCAGGAGTCTCAAGCCCCAGTCTGCCGCTGTGCACAACTTCCAGGAGGAGTTTGGCCTGGACCAGGCTCAGGCGAGTGCGCGCGCCCCCGCTTCTGAACACAGCGCCCTTAGCGGCTCGCTTCTGGCTGAAAGGATCATCTGGGATGGCAGAAGATGCCCTTGGCCTCTTCTCGCGTGGGGTCTCCAGTCCGGGCCCCAAACCACCTGCAGGCTGCACAGTGGGCGCCATCCCTGGCCGGCGCGGGGGAGCAGGGGTGGGGGGGGTGCGGGTGGTGGAGGCGGTGAGGGGGTGGTCGTTTTCCCAGGTGGGGCCCGAGGGAGGACAGGCTGACCAGCGGGGCCGCTGAGGCTCCACCTCCTCTCCCTCCAGGCCCTTGCCATCAGCGACCATTTTCCTGTGGAGGTGACCCTGAAGTCGCACTGAAAGCCCTCAAGGCCAGACTCAGGCCAGGAGAACAGCCCTACAGGGCTCCTTCTGGGTGGCTGGCCAGCCCCCAGCAAGGCCGCAGGGCAGGGTTGGCTGGACAAGCGGCTACGAAACATCACAGGATCAGTCTGTTTGCCCATCTGTGAAATGGGCTATCTACCTCATAGGGTTGTGAGGAGCAGCTTGCAGAGCGCGCACACGGCTGTGCTCAATAAACACGAGCGAGTGCTCAGCCAGGACCACGCTGGTCAGCTTCAAGGCCTCCGTGTCCTTTCTTAGGACTCAACCCCTCTGAGGCCCAGACTTTGGTCCTGCAGCCCAGTGGGTCCTGGGTCCCCACCCCCTAGGGGACAGGGATGGCCTGGCCTGCCCATTCACTCCCTGCTCGGGACAGATGCCCTCCAGACCAGGCTGGCTCCAGAACGCTGCTCCCATGCTTGCTAGTGGGAGCTTGTTGCTTTCTTTGTGCAAACCATACATGCTTCCAAGAACCCGTGCTGAGTGCAGCTGGGCATAAACACACAGCTTCGGTGTTGACACGCAAGGCCAACCTCCCCGTCCCTGATGTCCCTCCTGCCCCCTGATTCCCAGGTCCTGCAGACCTCGCAGACACTTGTATCAGGGGTCCTGTCCTGCCCAGCAATGCAGGGAGCAGGCAGTCAGGAGCCCCCCCCAAGTCCGTGGGCTGCCCTGGGACATCTGGGGAGCCCTTCAGTGGTGAGCAGGCTGGATTCCTCACACAGCCCAGGCAGGTGGGACCCACACACCCCTTGTGCATACATAGCCCCTTCCATGGGGCCACCCTGGGTCGGCTCCTTCTCAGAAGCCCTGGGCCGGGCAGAGGCTTGTCAGGGAGAACCGCAGCCTGTGTCCTGGAGAAGCCTGTCAACCAAGGATTGGGAATGTGCAGAACTGGGGTACAGGGGCCCAGTGAGGTTTCTGGTTTTGGAAACAACTCCACTTGGGTCTGGGAAGTGGCCTGAACCATATGGAGGAAAAACCTTTGTTTCAAAAGTCTGGACGAGTTTTCTGGTGTGATCTCTCTAAGACTCGGGCTCCTGCAGCACAGACCCACCAGTACTGCCTCCCATGCCCCTCGCTAAGCTCCCCACCCCAGTCTCTGGACCATTGCGCCCCCTCTGTCTCAGTGGGCGGATGTAGTGGCCAAAGAGCTTTCCTCTGGGGGGATCCTGTGTGGGTCACTGGCCCACAACCTGGGGATGAGCCCCCAGCAGTCAGGCAACTGGGTAGCTAGGGATGGGACCACACAAGGACTTTGTTCCCACTTCTGCTCTGGCAAAGGGGACGCTCAGCGGCGGCTGTCACCAAGGTCCAGCATGGCCCGGCCTACCTGCCAGCAGAAGAGGTGCTCGTGGGGGGTGGTGGGCCCTTGGGACACTGGCTACAGGGAACAGGGCCTTCTAAGAACATCAGCAAAATGAAGAGCTGCAAGTACTTTTACATTGGAAAATAGCTTGTTTAAAACCCCTCGGAATCAGAGGGTCCCCGGAGGGGTGCATCCGGCTCCAAGCCCCATGGAGGCAGCCCAGCCCCTTAGCCTTTCTTCTGTTTGAGCTTTTCTAAGTACGCATGCAGAGACTTCTGGACGGAGTCTCTGCAGATGAAGCGGACAAAAGTCTGGATGTCCGCATCGCGCTCTGTGAGCAGGCGGTCAGCTGTGGGCTTGCGCATTAGGGTCTTGGTCAGCTGTCGGGCGTGGTCTACAGAAAAGGGCCCAAGTGTGAAAACCCATTCTGACACCGTGGCATCACTCCCAACCTTTCCAAAAGAGTTCCAGCAGAAACTCTGGCAGGAAACTTAGGACATACAAGTAAACAAGCAAAATGAAAACCACCCCTTCCCCACTGCCTCTACCCAGAAGCAGAGAAGGTGACACTGTGAAAACTGCCTCTTACCCCGTCCCTTTCATTACCCAATATTACGGGGGGTACTTTCCACATCACTAAGTACTCGTTCACAGCACAGTTAGGTCAGTGAACCTGGCCCCCCCACGGCCTGGGAGCTAAGAATGGTTTTTACACTGTCATGGAGTTGAAGAAAGGACATTCTGTGACCCGTGAAGATTATATGCAATTTAAGTATCAGCACCGGCACGCTCACTGGGTCACAAATGCTCTGGCTGCCCTCATGCTCCAGCGCCACCGTGTGGCCGAGACCAAGTGACCCACAAGGCCGACCATCTCCCTGGCTCTTGA